CAAATTCAAAATAGAGAATTCACGCTTATGGCAACACCAGCCAACAATGAACCTACTTCAATCATAATACAGGCTATTTCTGAGAATATAAAGAAAATTAGAGACAGGGGTACAAAGATAAAAATCAACAAAATGTTTACCACAAGAAGCGCAGTAATCATAAAATTGCCTAATATGACAGAGATGAATTCACTTCAAGAGGAATTGAACAAATCTGAGGAATTAAAAACAATAAGCAAAATATGTGTTCCAAAGCAAAGAGATCCAACAGTGGTGGTGAAAAACGTTTCCAAACTAACCGATACAACCACATTTGTAAACACGATTTGTATTATGAATCAGGAGCTGAACGGAATGGAAGATGAAATCAAGATATTATTCGTAATGAAATCTAACACACTAGCCCAAAACATAGGCCTGGAAGTTTCCCTAAAAGCCTATCAACTTATGAAAAGAATGAACAATACATTATATTTATAAATGACTGCGGCGTATAATTATAAAGTTATACAACCAGTTTAACCGCATAAGTTTCTTTTCATTTATGAAAAATCATTTTTAATTTCAAAGAGAAATAATTTAATATTTCTAACTTTTGGATGACGTATGAAAAGGTTGAATATATGAAGAGTGATGGACTATATCTGAATGGATGACGTATGGAGGGTGAAAAATATGAAGAGTAATGGCGAACGGAAAATAAAAGTGTCCAGGAGCGGGAATCGAACCCACAACCTTCTGCTTACCGGGCAGGTGCCATGTCCACTAGGCTATCCTGGACGATATTTCTCCGTTCGTAACTAATATTTAAACTGACTAATAATACTTATAAATGACTGCGGCGTATAAATATAAAGCTATACAACCAGTTTACCCGCATAAGTTTCTTTTCATTTATGAAAAATCATTTTTAATTTCAAAGAGAAATAATTTAATATTTCTAACTTTTGGATGACGTATGAAAAGGTTGAATATATGAAGAGTGATGGACTATATATGAATGGATGACGTATGGAGGGTGAAAAATATGAAGAGTAATGGCGAACGGAAAATAAAAGTGTCCAGGAGCGGGAATCGAACCCACAACCTTCTGCTTACCGGGCAGGTGCCATGTCCACTAGGCTATCCTGGACGATATTTCTCCTTACGTAACTAATATTTAAACTGACTAATAATACTTATAAATGACTGCGGCGTATAAATATAAAGCTATACAACCAGCTTAACCGCATAAGTTTATTTTCATTTATAAAAAATCATTTTTAATTTCAAAGAGAAATAATTTAATATTTCTAACTTTTGGATGATAATTGAAAAGGTTGAATATATGAAGAGTGATGGACTATATATGAATGGATGACGTGTGGAGATGAAAAATATCAAGAGTAATGGCGAACGGAAAAATAAAAGTGTCCAGGAGCGGGAATCGAACCCACAACCTTCTGCTTACCGGGCAGGTGCCATGTCCACTAGGCTATCCTGGACGATATTTCTCCGTTCGTAACTAATATTTAAACTGACTAATAATACTTATAAATGACTGCGGCGTATAATTATAAAGCTATACAACAAGTTTAACCGCATAAGTTTCTTTTCATTTATGAAAAATCATTTTTAATTTCAAAGAGAAATAATTTAATATTTCTAACTTTTGGATGACGTATGAAAAGGTTGAATATATGAAGAGTGATGGACTATATCTGAATGGATGACGTATGGAGGGTGAAAAATATGAAGAGTAATGGCGAACGGAAAAATAAAAGTGTCCAGGAGCGGGAATCGAACCCACAACCTTCTGCTTACCGGGCAGGTGCCATGTCCACTAGGCTATCCTGGACGATATTTCTCCGTTCGTAACTAATATTTAAACTGACTAATAATACTTATAAATGACTGCGGCGTATAAATATAAAGCTATACAACCAGTTTAACCGCATAAGTTTCTTTTCATTTATGAAAAATCATTTTTAATTTCAAAGAGAAATAATTTAATATTTCTAACTTTTGGATGACGTATGAAAAGGTTGAATATATGAAGAGTGATGGACTATATATGAATGGATGACGTATGGAGGGTGAAAAATATGAAGAGTAATGGCGAACGGAAAATAAAAGTGTCCAGGAGCGGGAATCGAACCCACAACCTTCTGCTTACCGGGCAGGTGCCATGTCCACTAGGCTATCCTGGACGATATTTCTCCTTACGTAACTAATATTTAAACTGACTAATAATACTTATAAATGACTGCGGCGTATAAATATAAAGCTATACAACCAGCTTAACCGCATAAGTTTATTTTCATTTATAAAAAATCATTTTTAATTTCAAAGAGAAATAATTTAATATTTCTAACTTTTGGATGATAATTGAAAAGGTTGAATATATGAAGAGTGATGGACTATATATGAATGGATGACGTGTGGAGGGTGAAAAATATCAAGAGTAATGGCGAACGGAAAAATAAAAGTGTCCAGGAGCGGGAATCGAACCCACAACCTTCTGCTTACCGGGCAGGTGCCATGTCCACTAGGCTATCCTGGACGATATTTCTCCGTTCGTAACTAATATTTAAACTGACTAATAATACTTATAAATGACTGCGGCGTATAATTATAAAGCTATACAACAAGTTTAACCGCATAAGTTTCTTTTCATTTATGAAAAATCATTTTTAATTTCAAAGAGAAATAATTTAAAATTTCTAACTTTTGGATGACGTATGAAAAGGTTGAATATATGAAGAGTGATGGACTATATATGAATGGATGACGTATGGAGGGTGAAAAATATGAAGAGTAATGGCGAACGGAAAAATAAAAGTGTCCAGGAGCGGGAATCGAACCCACAACCTTCTGCTTATCGGGCAGGTGCCATGTCCTCTAGGCTATCCTGGACGATATTTCTCCGTTCGTAACTAATATTTAAACTGACTAATAATACTTATAAATGACTGCGGCGTATAATTATAAAGCTATACAACCAGTTTAACCGCATAAGTTTATTTTCATTTATGAAAAATCATTTTTAATTTCAAAGAGAAATAATTTAATATTTCTAACTTTTGGATGACGTATGAAAAGGTTGAATATATGAAGAGTGATGGACTATATCTGAATGGATGACGTATGGAGGGTGAAAAATATGAAGAGTAATGGCGAACGGAAAAATAAAAGTGTCCAGGAGCGGGAATCGAACCCACAACCTTCTGCTTACCGGGCAGGTGCCATGTCCACTAGGCTATCCTGGACGATATTTCTCCGTTCGTAACTAATATTTAAACTGACTAATAATACTTATAAATGACTGCGGCGTATAATTATAAAGCTATACAACAAGTTTAACCGCATGAGTTTCTTTTCATTTATGAAAAATCATTTTTAATTTCAAAGAGAAATAATTTAAAATTTCTAACTTTTGGATGACATATGAAAAGGTTGAATATATGAAGAGTGATGGACTATATATGAATGGATGACGTATGGAGGGTGAAAAATATGAAGAGTAATGGCGAACGGAAAAATAAAAGTGTCCAGGAGCGGGAATCGAACCCACAACCTTCTGCTTATCGGGTAGGTGCCATGTCCACTAGGCTATCCTGGACGATATTTCTCCGTTCGTAACTAATATTTAAACTGACTAATAATACTTATAAATGACTGCGGCGTATAATTATAAAGCTATACAACCAGTTTAACCGCATAAGTTTATTTTCATTTATGAAAAATCATTTTTAATTTCAAAGAGAAATAATTTAATATTTCTAACTTTTGGATGACGTATGAAAAGGTTGAATATATGAAGAGTGATGGACTATATATGAATGGATTACGTATGGAGGGTGAAAAATATGAAGAGTAATGGCGAACGGAAAAATAAAAGTGTCCAGGAGCGGGAATCGAACCCACAACCTTCTGCTTTCCGGGCAGGTGCCATGTCCACTAGGCTATCCTGGACGATATTTCTCCGTTCGTAACTAATATTTAAACTGACTAATAATACTTATAAATGACTGCGGCGTATAATTATAAAGCTATACAACCAGTTTAACCGCATAAGTTTATTTTCATTTCTGAAAAATCATTTTTAATTTCAAAGAGAAATAATTTAATATTTCTAACTTTTGGATGACGTATGAAAAGGTTGAATATATGAAGAGTGATGGACTATATATGAATGGATGACGTATGGAGGGTGAAAAATATGAAGAGTAATGGCGAACGGAAAAATAAAAGTGTCCAGGAGCGGGAATCGAACCCACAACCTTTTGCTTACCGGGCAGGTGCCATGTCCACTAGGCTATCCTGGACGATATTTCTCCGTTCGTAACTAATATTTAAACTGACTAATAATACTTATAAATGACTGCGGCGTATAATTATGAAGCTATACAACCAGTTTAACCGCATAAGTTTCTTTTCATTTATGAAAAATCATTTTTAATTTCAAAGAGAAATAATTTAATATTTATACTTTTGGATGACGTATGAAAAGGTTGAATATATGAAGAGTGATGGACTATATATGAATGGATGACGTATGGAGGGTGAAAAATATGAAGAGTAATGGCGAACGGAAAAATAAAAGTGTCCAGGAGCGGGAATCGAACCCACAACCTTCTGCTTACCGTTACGAACGGAGAAATATCGTCCAGGATAGCCTAGTGGACATGGCACCTGCCCGGTAAGCAGAAGGTTGTGGGTTCGATTCCCGCTCCCGGACACTTTTATTTTTCCGTTCGCCATTACTCTTCATATTTTTCACCCTCCATACGTCATCCATTCATATATAGTCCATCACTCTTCATATATTAAACCTTTTCATACGTCATCCAAAAGTTAGAAATATTAAATTATTTCTCTTTGAAATTAAAAATGATTTTTCATAAATGAAAATAAACTTATGCGGTTAAACTGGTTGTATAGCTTTATAATTATACGCCGCAGTCATTTATAAGTATTATTAGTCAGTTTAAATATTAGTTACGAACGGAGAAATATCGTCCAGGATAGCCTAGTGGACATGACCACTGCCCGGTAAGCAGAAGGTTGTGGGTTCGATTCCCGCTCCTGGACACTTTTATTTTTCCGTTCGCCATTACTCTTCATATTTTTCACCCTCCATACGTCATCCATTCATATATAGTCCATCACTCTTCATATATTCAACCTTTTCATACGTCATCCAAAAGTTAGAAATATTAAATTATTTATCTTTGAAATTAAAAATGATTTTTCATAAATGAAAAGAAACTTATGCGGTTAAACTGGTTGTATAGCTTTATAATACATTATATACTAACCTAGAACGTTGTCAGATACAAGATAAAATCCTAGTAAAACAATGTCGAAACTCTTTCCAGTTTAATCAAAACCATAAAACAAAAGAATGTCCAAATTTACAAATATGTTGCATATGTGGAACCCAGGGCAATCACGTCTGTACAAAAGAGCTAAGATGTCATAACTGTTCAAAGCATCCAAGACTTAGGAATAGTCCGATTAACCATAAACCAAATACGAATGACTGTCCTCAATATAAATTGCAGATTGATAGAACAATGAGAAAAACTCAATATCTCATCGGTTCAGAAGAGGAATGAATAATGAATTGAGATATATGTAAACATGGAGATCACTACTTTACCATATAGAGAAAATATATAATGTTTACAACAGAACATTAGAAAAGGTATGACAGCTCTAACGAACTTACAATTTCAACGAATTATAATTCACCCGATATTATACAACTTCACGAACCATATGTTTTAAAAAAACAGGTTATATTTGATTTAGGCTCACCAATAATTTATTCAAAGACTTCAGAAATTATTGTCAATAAAAATATAAAATTCAAAAATTAGATAATTTTACAAATAAATTCTGTACTGCAATATCCGTCATAACCTCAAATTCGATTGTAGTAATCGCAAATCTTTACTTTCATCCCAATTCCTGTATAATGATACCTACTTAGATTTTATAAGAAACTTGATTAAAACTTCTCCAAATAACCCTATAGTCCTATGCGGAGATTTCAATTCCCGTCATCAAATCTGGTTCGACAAAATAACAAATTCAAATGGTTACAAATTGCAAACAATAATAAATGAAAAGCACTTGTACATTCACAACGATAAAACTCCAACATGTGGAGGGGCAAGTATAGTAGATCTAACAATCTCGAATAGACTTTCAATAGATATGATCAGACATTGGACCACCTCATCACTGACGAATGTTTCTGATCATTTGGCAATTCAATTTGAAATTCACTCAAAATTCAATCATATAAAAGATAAACAGAATTCTACATGGAAATCTAATGAAAAACACGCCAACCTGACAAATATTTCAAAAATTCTAAAGTATCATGAATTTATCAAATTAAAGAACGAGGCAGATATGGTGGAATATTGCATGGATATTCATAAAGTTGTAAACAAACTCACGGATAACATAATAGAAGCTGCTTACATATCATTAAAAGTAAAATCAACCAACTACACATACGATACAGGTATAAAATGGTGAAATAAAGAAATTGAACAAATGAAAACACATTTTAACTTTGTAAGAAACTTATTTTATCACAGTAAGACTATCGATGCAACAAGATTTAAACAACTCGGAAACACATTTAATAATATGATAAAGAAAGCAAAGAGAAATAGTTTGAAAATTTTCATCGAAGAAAATGAATCAAATGATCCTTTGGTAACGCATATAAAATTTTCAAAAAGCTCAAATCCTCAAACAGGTAAAAAGTACTTCCCATAATAAACAACAATCAAGAATCAGAAAAAGAAAAACGCATTACATACCTTATAAATGTATTAATTGCTAATGACAGAATTGATCAAGACAACCATCAACAAGAATTGGTTAGAAGTTACGAACATTTTCTAAGAAATTCAAGCGCTATCCATATTTATATCGAAGAAATAGAATAGCTAATTAGCAATAGCAATGTTAAAAAGTCACCAGGTCAAGATAATATCAGTAATAACATGATAAAATACGCAACAACTCTGATACTTCCAGTGCTACATTCGTTATTAAATAAATGTTTTCAGATGGGATATTTTCCAAGGGAGTGGAAAACGACAGTATTAAAAATTCTAATGAAACCAAACAAATCTAACTTCGAATCAATAAAAAGCTATCGGCCTATTTCGTTAACATGTAATCTGTCTGATATCTACGAATAAATTAATAAAAATAAAATTTATGAATATTATATGCAAAATAATTTATTAAGTCCCAAACAGCATGGATTCATCAAGTCAAAATCTACTATTACAGCCTTTAATAATATAATCGATATAATAATGAACACAAAACCAAAGAACTGACAGCTCTGGTCACAATAGATATTGCGGGAGCCTTTGATAACGCATGGTGCCTGCGATTTGAAAAATAATTTGCCGGAAGGTTTAATAAGGACTATTCAATCATATTTCAAATCGAGGAAAACGAAATTTACATATGAGAATTTAACAATAAATAAACATATAGATGTCCGCAGGGTGGCCCGCTATCTCCACTACTATGGATAATATTACTAAACAATCTTTTGATCAAATATCAAGTTCCTAATAGTGAAGTGGAATGTTATGCGGATGATGTATCAATTATATGCTGGCACAACAATTGCAAAGACCTAAAATTAGTTATAGAAAAAGCATTAAATACGATTGATATATGGTGTAAGAGTAACAAACTTGAAATAAGTCTAGAAAAACTAATATATTTTATTTACATAGCAAAGAAAAAATCCCAATCAAATTTATTAATGAAATAATAATACCAACTCTGAAAACTAATATTTTAGGAATAATAATTGCAAATCAAAGAATAAGAAACAAATTAAATTTTACATACCACATAGAAGAAATAGTAAATCGTACAAAACGTTTTAAAAATCATCTCTTCTCAATTTGTGGGAAATCTTGGGGTCTAAGCACCCAGAAAAGGTTAACTTTATATAAATCCATTTTCAGAACAATACTTACATATGGAGCCGATATTTGGTTCAAATATTCAAATGAAAAATGTTTATAAAAATTAAATTCAACCCAATATCAAATACTAACATGGTGTATACAAGCCTATAAATCCACATCATGTAGTTGTGTTCATAGTCTGGCTAACATTCCTCTGATCTCAATCTTTATCGAATCCAGAATCATGATATCTGTGATCTGAGAAACTTATCCACAGATGATCAACAAATTTATGACCCATTTATTCCAGGAATTATAGATACCTTTCTCAAATCAAGAATTAATGTTCTGAAAAACGATGTAAAAAATACTTTCCTAAGCTTTTTTCACCAAGAA